ACCGTATCGTGCGTTTTCCACTTCAGTAGCAACTCTAACCATTTTATCTTCGGCATTGTAAATTCAGTTGTACTATGACATGTTTGTTGCCACGGGAGGCAAAAGGAGCTTAGAGTGCATTCATATCTTGGCTCTTCTTTCAAAATGTGTTGATGTGTTTGGAGACCATACAAAAGAGTGATTTCTGTACATGAGCGGTAAAGACCAGCGGCCAGAGAGATCTGAACCCCAGCTGCTGTGGTTCTTGCGTCCAAGGAGATCTCTCACTTTTGTTTTCACTGTGAGCTCTTTAACGCACACGCATGCATACTCGTCTTTATGAATTCACCAGATTCTCTTCTCTCTGTTAAAGTCATCAATGTGTTGGACTGCAAATGGACCAAAACACTACTTTTGTCCTTCCACAGGAGACTTTCGGGCAACCACCTGAGACACATCCCTGGCCCCGTGCTCCAAGGCCTCTACAACCTCAAAGTCCTGTAAGTAACGAAAGACAGAAAGAGCGAGAGCGTTTTTGTTTCAGTTAATGCTTCTATGGAAAATAACATTCAGGGTGATTAATTCCGAAAAAAGACTTTTGTTGCAGTGTCATTTACTGCAAAATTAGAAACAGAACCTCTGACAGGTGATGATTCAGGTTTTGCTCTGCGGTGAATGGTCAGTGAGCTGTTCTTTATGTCTGGGTGTTTGCTGATGGTTTATTGACAGATTTTTATTTTATGGACTGTCTTAAACCCAGTTGATGGAATGGAACAGGACAGACAAAGCCCAGGCATGGAACAAATTCATTCAGGCCAACGTACATCTCAGAATTTCCACATAGGATTCTATGCACCTTTCCATGTTGTCCTGGAAGATATAGTAAATTTGCCCCAATATTGTCATTCAACAACCCAGTGACACTGATTTTTTTGATTGCACACCACAAGAAAATTGCCCTGCCACATCAAATCCTTTTATTGACTCATAAATTCATGTCTCTTATTCATGTCTCCATCATCAGCCAATACCTTTTCAGTAATAAAAATAACTGAACAAGTTTTCTTTAACTGTTGCTAGATTTACATTTTAGTAGGATACTGACAACTTGATTTTAATTTAGTTCAGTTTAATATCTTAATATGTTTTTGCTTGTTTTGAAAACAAAATAATGTCTGTCATTGTCAGAGATCTTATTTCAGTGGTCAATGTAGACAAAAAGGGATTGGGTTGGGTATAACAATAGTTATGCATTTCTCTGTTTGCTTTATGTGCCCTATTGTATCTTATTCAACAACCAAACTTGTCTGAGGCCCGAGTTCCTGACCTTCTGACGTTTTATCTAATGTTCAGTTTTCAATGAGCCAGTCAGAATCACATGTAAATGTCAAAGCATATAAACCAAAGCCTAAAACTACAAGAAAAACATAACAAAAATATCACATCAAAAACATATGTTAGTGAAAATATGACAATGCCATGCAAAAGTGAAAGTACAGGGGGAATGAATACATACTTTGTGGCATTTGAATGACAAATTAATAGAGGATTATTCACAGCATCATATCAAGACTGCTGGACATTTTAAGTCGATGGCCATGGTGGAGCCATGATTTCCTTGATAAGTGCATCCTGCCCACAAAGGTGTATTTATTCCTTCAAACATTAGCAATTCTCTGCTGCGTGGTCAAATGTCAGGAGTTTCATTTGATTGGACACGATAAAGCTGTCTGCCTTGTAATTAAAGCTCAACGTCTGTGGCCGCGTGCTCTCACACTGGAATAATTTGCTTTGTTCAAAGAGCTCAGTGTCATTGTTCTACCACTTCCTGTTTCTTTCGTTTTTTTATTCGACGAGTCCTGTGAGCATGACCTCAGTGGCCCACCCAGGCAGTTTCCCCCCCCCCTCATTCTAGAGACTAATATGATATTCCAGAGGCCACTCTTCTTGAAGAAGACAAAACGTGACAACATCACATTTAATATCAGAACGGTGAAAAAGAGGGCTGTTGGCACATCTGGAACCCATGAGGAAACCGCCAGACACTGTGCACTGGCTCCTGAGTGAGCGCTGGGAGATTCAATGAGCTGTGAAGAGCCCAATTTTCCATCAGTTACTCTACCCTCTTCCCTTATGTCCAAAGTTTCCCTCCTAATCGAAATCACGCCCCCTTCCTAACTGGTTCCCCATGAAAAGGTATTTTGTCTGGCCTTGTCCATCTGCTCCACTCACATCCACCCCTCGACTCCTTTCAATTATTCCTGATGCCAGTCAGCATCCCGGAGCGGAGCCGCACACCCACTTTTTCCAAATGAATAATTCCACGTAAATATCCATGCGCTCATATCCTTCTACCTTTGCAAGGATGTTTTCATTAGAGTCATGGCGTACAAATTTAATTCCTTTGCCACCAACAGAGTTTTTTCCACATGGAAGACATGCCTGGTTCCAGAAGAGGCTCCAGAGGTGCATAGACTGTGTCCAGGCCCTCCCTGTAGTGAGGCAGAGACTCTGGCATTCGTCCAGCCAACTTACGCTCACTTTCAATCCCCCATAACAAAGAATATGCAGTGATTCGGCTAGGTGCTCTATCCTGAGTTCCCACAAGAGTAGAAAGGCATTTAGTTCTCAACAAACATGTAATTTAGGGTAATGATAAGATGGGGATCGGTTAACCACTGGGGGGGCTATAAGGTTTGAAGTCCACTGGCGCCCGATGTAGACAGAGAGAAGATGAGTTGGGGCAGGACAGAGGATTGGTGATGAAACTCATCTTTGTTTCTTTACCAGAGTTTAGGACTGTAGGCTATACTTGCTACACTCAGCACAGAGCATCCTTTGATGTCAAGACCATCCTTCCAGGATTTAGTCTATGAAAGAAAGATCTGATAAAGATCCAGTAAAAGCTGAGCAACAAGGCTCACCTTCCTTAAATCAGAGGCAATGCAATACCCCTTGATCATATGATGCCTACCAATGAGATTCCACACAAAAGAGACCGCAAAAGCAATGTTTACACATGCAATTTCAAGTCTTAAGCCTATCAAGCCAGATGATTAAGATGTCATCAGCAAGACATTGGTGTTTACCTAGCAGGGTTGCACAGCATGGAAAGTGTAGTCTGGGAATACGGGAGTTTTTCCAAGCCAAATGGCATTGTATTTTGGGTTCAAGTTCCTCTTCTATTGATGCTCATCATGCATTATCCTCAGCTGAAGGACTTGAGGGTTGAGGAGGCCAGAGGGGACATGAGGAGAGGCCAGTGCAAAATGAATGTGTGTCAAAGGTCATGGGGGAAAAATGCAGAGGAAGTGCTTGCGGCTAACTCCACGTGCTCTGCTGCTATCATACATCACGACTCACTGATCACTGATGTTCAGCACACCCCTCCTCCACTGAATCCAGGGGGCAACATTAATTAGATCAAAGGCTTAACTTGTTGACATAGGAAGGACATTCATCTTGGTTGTGGAGATGTCAAGGTCTGAGAAAAACAACAGTCTTGCAAAAAAAATGGGTGACATCTGCACTATCAATTATTTCCAGCAACCTCTGATTTTTTTTTTCTCAGAGCTTTTATCTTTAGCTAAGTTTCTTTGTTTAATTTCCAAAACTCAGAGAGAAAAACTGTTCAATAGCGTCTTAAAGCCTTCCAGTCAGTGTGGAGCAACAATTGCTTGGTGGCTTTAACCAAATCAACTCACCATGCTGCAAAGTCATCAATTTATCAATCGGTGCTTTATTACACCATATGAGCACAAGAACAATGAAAGAGGAATGGCCAATTTTCAAAACGCCTTCAAGTGGTTGGATCGAGAGTGGAATCTTTGCCTCAGCAGCCCTTGTACGCCTGGTCTGTGATTGCACAAGTTTTCTTTGTATCCTCTGAAACGCACTTGTTGTGATTTAGCACCCTCTCTCCAAAAGCTTTAAATTCAAAAATGTAAAAGCCCACAAAGCATAGCACTCCACCTGTGGGCTCCCGATGTTTCATCAAACATTCAGAGCGGCGACCCTGCCAAAACTCTCATTAAACAAGTCCATGCTGGAGTAACTAAAGATAGCTTCATAAAACACTTGCATATAAATCACTTGGGGGAAAACTAAATCACTCAGGTAGTGGTGCCAATCCTTACACCAGAAGAACAAAAGATAGAAAAAAAGATAGGCAACAAAAGTATCCTTTAATTATGATAACGTCAAAGCAGAAATGTTGTGACCGCAGACCACAGCACAGTATCTCTTTCTGTTTAGCCACATTTGGTGGATCCTATCTTCATCTTTTTTATGCACCTCTGTAAGGCGTGTAAGTTTGATGAATGAAATGAAAGAAGTAAGATTTCATGACAGTACACTGCATGGACAAGGAGTGCTGCCATTGACTGGGTCACAAACACTGTGGGGCTGGAGTCACAACAGGTCAGGCCTCAATATAAAAAAAGCTAGTGGAGAACATCAAGTATATGTTTATGGAGGGTGGGTAGTGTATAGTGTCTTGATGACACAGGTTCCAAAACTTCCTTCAGTGATTCTTCTACTTGGAAAGTACTATAACACCAGTCCTGTCCTGTAAAAGCCTTAAAATTTTGCTCATTTTCACTAATATCTCCTGCTAATTTGACATGAAATCAATGCACATATTTGAGGTTAAAGTTTGAACCACCTGGTTGAACAAGACTACATTTTCTCCTAAATTTCTACACCGTACATACACTGTCTACAGGAATAAACATCTGCTTCTGTTCATTCTAATAAAAACAGGCGTCTGGATGCCAACCTGATTATGGAGGTGCCAGCAAGGACCCTCTCGGGTATGCGGTCCCTGCGACACTTGTGGCTTGATGACAATGCCCTGACAGAGATCCCAGTAAGTGCCCTCAACGACCTCTCCTCGCTCCAGGCTATGACCCTTGCCCTAAACCGCATCACCCACATCCCAGACTATGCCTTCAGGAACCTTTCCAACTTGGTTGTGCTGTAAGTATCTACTTCCACACAACATGAATAAACCAAGTAGGATGTGTTCCTGGATCAGCATGCTAAGTAGCTAACCCCAAAATATATCCAGTCCCTGCGATCAGAGGGGAAAATTAGGAATGTTCTTAAAGCCCCTAACCCCAACCTTAAGCTTTATCCTAAACCTTGATCCAGGACCATGTCCTATTTGACTAAATCACACTGACAATTGTGTGAGGATCGGAAACCAGGAAATAAGAGGAAGTTGGAACACATGCCCTGTTTTGACAAGACACCACAAGAATCTTAAACTCTTTCAATTACAAAGCAGTGAAATGTCTGGATTAATAGTCTGGATTAATTTTATATCTCATCCGCCACCGGTTTACGTTTATTTGAAGCAATGTACACAGTCAAGCAGGTGTCATTCCTTGGGTTTGTTTTGATGCCTACTATAATCCTAATGAATGTTTTCATGTTTAGGCATCTTCATAACAACATGATCCGGACCCTCGGACAGAACTGCTTTGAGGGACTGCACAGCCTCGAGACTCTGTAAGTAAGATCGTCCCTTCATGAAAGATTAAAAGCATGGAAGCATTTCCTGTTTTTAATGCAAACAAACCCTGATCTGTTATTTGATATTGGTGTCCTTGCAGAATCATTATGGAAAGGGCTGTGTCTATAAATATAAATCAAAATTACTAGCAAACTAGCCTGACTCTACTTATGTTCAGTGGTTCAGCTTTGTATTAACTATAAACAAATCATTCTTTACACAATACTTCTGCTGTTGAGATACGCACGTATTAAATGCAGTACCTTGTTTTCTAAAAAACACTCTTACCTCTCATTACAATTTAAGAAAGTATGGCAGACTTTCATTAGAAGCAACGATAATGTCCTGACAATGACTTCAGTGTTGGGTGATTTCTTCAGTGTTCCATTCAAAAGTATACGTGTAAGCAGTGTGGAAACTATACAGTGATTTTTAGGGGACCTTTGGGGTTTTGGTTATCATGTGGCTGATGTTGGTATTACAGGCTACAAATATTTTTAATACACTTCCCTTTGTCCCATAGCTTCATATATTCAGCATTCAGAAATGTAATGGGATATAATTTCCATTCCATGTCAATAGCATGACCCATGTTAGAGGTGGTTGAATTTATATTATATTAGGGCTGGATCAAATTTTAACTGACGGTCGGCATTTTACTTGACAGTCTGCATCTAAAAACATAATAAAATTGATATTAATATATGAGTATGAACAAAACTAGTAAACAATATAGTTAAAAACATCATGATTTTATGGCTACTGGCTACAATTTTCATATTAAAGCTGGACAATAGTGCACATTCTCTGCCGAAATTCAGGCTATATAACTTATACGTTACTGAACATGGTAGATTGTCATCAAATGTTAAATAGGCCCAATAAATACACTAGAAATGCTAATAAAATTCATGAGAAATTTTGAAAGGGGCTTACGAACCAGAGCCAATGCATGTTTGTAATATAATGTATGAACGACTTTACATAGACCATGCTATGAAAGTTTGGCTTTAAAGGAATAAGCATATGCTGAAGTCATGGTGGTCTCCAGGATACCGAAAGGTTCACACCTGCTTTTTAACAGCCTGCTGAAGTGCTAAAGATGATGTTTTCCTCTTTACGAGAAGGATTTCAGCCTTGAGAATTGCACACACTGAACTGAACACTTCATTTGAAAGCAATCACTGAGAAACCGTGCACTGAAAATCTCCCGTGACAATTGTGTGGCTCGATAAATTTACCTTTAAGAAGATTTGTTTCAAGGAGAAAATATTTCTCGCGCTACATTTAAGCTCTTGCAAATGATACAATGTAGAGTGATAGGAACATTAGTTAGGAAAGTGATTCTCAATCAGGATGTGCATAAGCAAGTTTCTTGCTTCGTTAAATAAGAAAAAAATTATACTAAATACAGTATGCTTACATATAATAACATAATAATTTAATAAAATATATAAATATGACTATTACAATATATATATATATATATATATATATATATATATATATATATATATGGGGTGAGGGGAGCACAC